ACACACAACAAAACAAACACAATATCCATTTCTCATTTCATCTCATCTTGTTTCAGCCTTCATATCTTCCCACAGGACTGTTACAATGGCGGCCTAATTGGTCCTACACTCTCCCTCACACATGTGCCAAAAGGGTGTCTATGGGAGCCGGGACTGGCATGGATCCCATGGCCACTATAACCCCAGCAACGGGCCTGGCATCAGTAGGTGCCTGATAAATATTTGTTGAATGAGTGAATGAATGCTTCTTGTCTTTAATCTTTTTCTCCAATACATATTCCATATGGTGTCCACAATAATATGAAGAGATAGATCTGGTCTTGTCACCCCCACTTACCTATCTCTAGTGGCCTTTTACAGGCCATCCAGGGCCCTGCAGTCTTCCCTGGCTGCCTTTTCAGCCTCATGCCCATTCACATTTCACATGCGCCCTGACCAGTGAGCCCACACAACTATTTCCCATCAAGCCTTGGTCTCTAAGACACTTCCTCCTCCATCTAGAAAGTACTGCTTTCTCAGCCTCCACTTAAGAGCATATCCTCTCAGAACATGAAGAGATAGATCTGGTCTTGTCACCCCCACTTACCTATCTCTAGTGGCCTTTTACAGGCCATCCAGGGCCCTGCAGTCTTCCCTGGCTGCCTTTTCAGCCTCATGCCCATTCACATTTCATATGTGCCCTGCCCAGTGAGACTACACAACTTCTATTTCCCATCAAGCCTTGGTCTCTCAGACACTTCCTCCTCCATCTAGAAAGTACTGCTTTCTCAGCCTCCACTTAAGAGCATATCCTCTCAGAACTACATTTCCTTACTAGGACCACCTACCCAGGCCACCTCACAAGTTCCATGACACCCTGACCATAATCTAGTGTATCCTTTACCTTCATTACTCTTACTGCTTTTTGTTGTTACTGCTGTTGTTACTTAGTTTTTTTTTCTTCATTAAATTGTTGGTGCTACATCTTATTTCTTTATCCCCAAAGACTCACAAAGTGCCTGGCACACAGAAGGCATTATGAATGAATGCACAAATAGTTTTAAACAACCATCTGATCTCTGACCCAGAATCTACTAAGATCCCAAGAGCTGACTTCCACCTATGCACCAGACTTATCTCCCTGAACAAGAGCAAACTCAGGAGTCTCCCCACCCTCACATCTAACCTGCTCCTGACCACGACCATGTTCCTTGCCTTCTAAGCTTGCAGCATCCCAATCCAATCTCTGAATGTTTCCCAATACCTTCTTTCCATCCCCACTGACACAGCCTTGATCAATCCTTCCCCATCACCTCACCTCTTCCAGCATCTTGTCTCCACCTAAACATTGAAATGCTGTGCCAAGAGCTTAAATACATTACCTCTTAACCCTCACCACAACCCCATTTTACAAATTAGGAAATTGGGGAAGAGCAAGGTTAAGTAGCATCCTCAAACTCATGGGACTACGGGGGAACCAGTCCTGGAACCCAGGTATTCTGGCACAGAGCTCTCGCTCATCAATTTCTGGCTCTACTGCTACACTGTCTAGTTTATTGCAACCCCTTCTGCCTGGTCCCGCTGTCCCCATTCTCTTCTCTTCTCTCCCTCTATCCATCCTCCATGTGACTGCCAACTGTCTTATGTTTTAAAACCAAACAAACAATTAGCTGGCCAAGCATTTTTCCAATGTAAAAGCCTCCATTAGTTCCCTA